GCTGAATGTCTGTCTGTATGTCTGTCTGTCTGTCTGTCTGTCTGTCTGTCTGTCTGTACGTATGTGCGGAATAGAAATTTTTATTTCTGAACCGATTTGGACCAAACTTGGCACACATATACTTTGGGGCGGGTAGCGTGTTATAGGCTACTTTTCGTTATCACTCGATATCGATTTTATCGATTTTTATCGATTTTTTTGCAGAGTTCACCTACGGGGCTGGGAGTTGGCACAGGGGGGTAATCACGCATGGGGATTTCGAAAACAGTATTAGTTTTCAGGATTATCGATTACTTTTATCGATTTTATCGATTTTTTTGTAAAGTTTGACCTACGGGGCTGGGAGTTTGCACAGTGAGGTAATCGAGCATGCCGATTACGATTACAATATTAGTTTTTGAAATCGTCCATTACTTTTGTCGATTTTATCGATTTTTTGCAAAGTTTGAGCTACGGGGCTGGGATTTGGCGCAGGGGGGGGGGGTAATCGAGCATGCTGATTATGAATTCGATATTAGATTGCCGCTATTCGGCTATCCGGGCCCCAAAATTTCTTGTGGTAGTGCTTGCTCAAACTTCGCGTATAAGGGTTATCTTAAGGGCCGGGCATACTTCAAGCGATTTCAATCGCGACGCGATCTGGCAATATTCCAGGTATCCATAACTCATTGTAAGCACTTTATAAATGTTCAGAAGATAGTGCATTTCATCAGTTTACGTAAGTTATACACACTATGCATGTGCAGTTTGCTAATGTTGGATCCGAATACTTCTGGCGAATTGCCAAATCGCGTCGCGACTGAAATCGCGTGAAGTATGCCCGGCCCTTTACATGCTGATTACAGATATCACACTTTCTCCGCAGAACGTCTTCCCGTGTGGTTACGATAGGCGTACGGTAGGAAGTCAAACCCATGAATTCGGCTGGAGTTCGGTCCGTATGGCTTATTCGACATGCTGATTACGAATATCATCTCTCTCTCTCTCTGCAAATTGGGACCTTTTCAAAGAGTTGTGGTGGTTATATAGCATGGGGTCGAAAACATAGATTTGCTTCAAACTTCGTCTAGGGTGGTCATTTAGCGCGCTGAACGTTAATATCATGCTGATTTTGCAGGATAGTGCATTTTCTTGGGTTACGGTGGGTGTAGATGTGTCGAAGTTCTAGATTCGCTCAAAACCTTACCTGTAACGGTTCACAAGTATATCGCTTATGAATATGATGCTTGTTCGCGGTCATAACGCAATAGTGAAGTTATGGTGAGTTGCAGGGTTTGAATGGACAGTTTTTCGCTCGGGCCAATTTAAATCCCAGATAATCAAGAGGTGGGGAAACGGTCGTTTTGCATGGCGGTCTCCAGCGCCATCCTGATAACCTGTCCCAACGCGTAACGCACGCGGCAAATCTCCCTCCCCCAATTTTTGCTTGGGCAAAAGCCGCCGAAGGGTGTATCGCGCGCGGCACTGGTCCTATAAGGGAAAGCATTACGGTCGTGGGAAACTTTTATACCACACGAATTGCCTTTATCGTGGGGATTGAGCACGATATTCTTGAAACAGCACTTTAGGTAATTTTCTGCCAAGGTTTCAGGCATTTTCATAATTTTTACCCGCTGTCATGTACCTACCGTAACTCTGCGAAAAGGTCTCAAAACGCAACGAGAGTGTTTTAGACGTGGTCAGAAGTCGGATTCCTCTAGACCGAGTTTCAGCCAAGACTGAGATTTTGCCCCTCTGCAGTATACCTACCATAGTGAAATCGCCTCAAAATGCCGAAGGAGTATGATATTCGTAATCAGCATGTCAATTAGCCTCCCTCAAAGTTTCAGCGAAATCCATGATTTTAGCTTGTTATGTTACCCAACGTAAACCCAGAAAATGGCGCTATCGCGCGAAATGACTACCGATATTCGTTATCAGCGGCTTTATAATCCCCATGTACCGACTTTGAGCAAGATCCATCAAGAAAACATTTTGGGGTCGGATAGCCGAATAGCGCCAGCAGTTTTCAGAATTATTCTTACTTTTACTGGTTTTATTGCTTTTTTTTGCGAAGTTTGAGCTACGGGGCTGGGTATTGTTGAGGGAGGTATTTGGGCATGCTAATTACTAATACAGCGGGAATGGGGAATTGCATGTAGAAGTGGGCACAATGAAAGGTTTTACAAGGATAGGGATAAGACCTTAAGGATAGCATTGACAGGGCCGGGCGGAGCCGGGTAAGCCAGCTAGCAATTCATAAATCTTTTTGTAATGCCATTTATACGGCTCTTACAATTTATATGTACTTTAAGCCCTACTATTACTGCGACATCTGGCGTTAATTTGTAAATTGTGAATTTTCTTATGATTTTATGTATGGTAGCAAAATCTGGGTCGCATCTAAATTTTTTCGGAGCTATCGAAGCTTGTTGGCTGCAATTTTGCCGCAATATGAGGCCTCCTCCTAGTTTGCCTCATAAAAATTGGAGGCTGTTTTGTAACTTCTCTGGTAAGTTACAAAATTTTAAGCTTAAAAATCCCAGTTTTTGCCTTTAGGATCGCATCTAAATTTGCAAGAGTCGCATCTATATTTTTTCCGTGCTCACTGCTCCTCAAAGGCTGAAACTTTTTCTATTGATAGTCTGGGCACTATGCTACAGAACTTGTTCATTGCAGCCTTTAAGTCTTTTTCTGGCCTTAGGTACGAATTTTCAAACTACCGTGCTCATGCACGTTTTTGACATCGTTCTCGATGGCGCTAAAGCGGTTTTTTGCAGGAAAAACTGTGCAAGAGGTGGGAAGTAAGCTTCTTATTCGAAAACATCTTTTGTGGTTCAAGAATGTCATTTCTTTCTGCATGCAAAAATTTGTGTCGCATACGGGGACCGAATTTGCTGGCCTGAAGTATGGCTGGAAATTCAAAAAAAAAACTTGCAGAATCTCAAACATTATCGAAGGTGTGTATTTGTGCTACAGATGCTGGGCACACACCCATTGGCCTAGAAATTCTGCTTTCGAGACCTCACTGAAGTTCGCACGCAGGTGTTTTTTTTGAGATTGACATTCGTTTATGCAGCGGAGAATGTGGGCAGGGGAGGTAAGGGGGGTAGATGGGGGGGGGGGGGTGAGGGGGGTAGATGGGGCGGGGGTCGTACGGATGGGTACCTTCAACTCAGACAATCGGCGGGGGCAGGCGGGCACCGGAAAAATAGATTGCTGATCTCTCGCATCCCGCTCGCGGATTTTTTGGAAAGCAATCAGGACTTTTCGGAAGACCGCTTGCTGAGTTCTCGATTCCTCAGAGATTCAGCAATATATCTGCAAAAGATAAGAGCGAAAAAAAAATTCAACAGGCGGTTTCTCAAAAATCCGCTGACTCAGTAAGCGGTCTTCCGAAAAGTCTTGATTGTTTTGCAAAAAATCCGCGAGCGGGGTGCGAGAAATCAGCAATCTATTTTTCCGGTGCCCGCCTGCCCCCAGCGGTTGTCTGAGAAGGGGGATCGTAAATGGGGGTCTCCGATCGCATCAAACGCTTGACCCTGGTCATATCGATAGTTGCCTAACTACCATATGTATAAATTATGTTGACAAATCACGTTTAGAAGATTGCAAAGTACATGAACGGCAGCAAAGGCGATAGAAAGTTTTCAAAATCGTCTTGCCTTCAGTTCTCAAATTTAATATAGTTTATGTGGGTTTCATGGTTATGTGCACTTGACAGGGATCACACAGTTTTCAAAAGTTTCACACTTTTATGAGATGGAAACAAATGAGACTTCCGATGAGCAGCAAGAACAAGGTGAAGAGCTTTACTGAAACCGCTTCGCTCTTCGCTTCAGAAAATATGTATAGGGTGTCCCAAAAAAATGTTAACACTGTTTGATTGTTAATAACTCCCTTGCTTTCATTTCTTTCGCCGAGCCTAAGGCACCATTCTAAAGAGCGAGGTTCAACTTAGATTTGTAGTATGGAGCATATCATCGATCACTCTTCGTTACTGTAGAATAACGGTAGGAACTTTGACAAAGATTTTAGGCCATTACAGGCCATATTCTGCCTCGGAACAAAACTAAACAAGCCAGAAACTCCTATACTGTGATAATGGAAGCCGCTAATTTCGAATATGAAGTTCCCACTTCACTGTGATGCTTCTTCCCAAGGTTATCCCAAGTAAACCGTAATAACTGAATTTCCAGCACTTGTTAGAAATGTGATTACAGTCTGCCCCAATCCTAACCAGGCCAAATTCGGCATGGCGGGAGTCCGCGCCGCGAGGGTTTCGCGCCACATCTGCGGCTAGCTAGTCTGCCCTCTCCTCGATCTCTTCACTCTCTGCGACAGCGCGCGTATGCAGCGCAATCCCCTAGCGCTGCGAGCGCGCAAATTCAGCCGGCGGTTCGGCCTGATCCCGATTGGGGCAGACTGTACATCATCAAGCTAAAAACACTCGTAAAAAGTTGTGTAGTGGAATCAGCGTGAACGAAAACCCTACCTAGCACAAGATTTTTCAGATTTTTTGAAAAAAATTTTGTCGGATGGCATATCTCACAATGGATCCACATGCTAGAAGTTCATACCGTAATCCCACAGTAATATAGAGCGATCAATGATCTGCTCCATACTATAAATCTAAGTTGAACCTCGCTCCACAGAATGGTTCCTCAAACTCGGCGAAAGACATGAAAGCAACGAAGTTATTAACGATCAAACAGTGTTAACATTTTTTGGGACACCCTGTAAACTAGCTGTCCTAAGACATTTATATCACAAGCGATGTCAGCTTCTTATCTTCTTGCCAAAGTAAAGACACCCTTCTCAAATCGGTCGTTTCCGAATCAGCGAATTTAGTGGAAGAACAGAAAGTTAAATGTAGAATAAAAGAGTAAGGAGAGCTTTTCCAAAAAAATACCAATGTTTGGTAACATTGTTCTGACTCCATGTGTAAAACTCAAAAATAAGTTTGTCAACGTAACGCAAACACATGGTAGTTGAGCGGAAATCATATCGATTGCGCTTACATGGCGTCACATTTCTTGGCAGACGATATTCACTTGGAAGAACAAAAATATTTTCCTTTTCCTCTGTCTTCTTTTCTCCGTCCTTTCGATGTCTGTAAAAGTTTGGAAGAAGTATGTAAAGAAATGAACAGTTTCTGGCTAGAAAATGACAAGAAGATAATCAACATTCATAATAACATGTTGAATCTTGCTATAGAACCAAAGAAGGCAACAAGTAATTTTTTGTTCGACTTACGATGATTCATTCATTTTGCTATTTGCATTAAAAATCGCAGCACTTGGTGTTCAAGCTTTATGAACTGTTCTTTCTATTTCAATAAATGGTGCTGATCGAACGTTTATATCAAAGTTATGAGTTACGAGAAAAACACTAAATTATTTGCCGTTTTGTATTGCTTGCTGAAGAACTTTACAGAAGAGTTTAATCAGAATGAGGTTGTTCAAGTAAAAAGGGTAAGAAATAAAACCTATCCAATTTTTAGTGCAATTTTCAGATTTTCAACGAAACTACATAACAAATTGAAATTTGGATAATTTTTTCGGCAATTTGTATCTCTGCAACATATACATGAAGAACATTCTTTCAAACACTATATTAAAGCTCATAACTTCGTCTTTATGAAACAATCAGTTCTATAGAAGTCCTTTGAGAATATGAGAAATGGTCTTTGATGCGAGATCGAACTTTCGGGCGAACCTAATATACCTGTGACTTAACTTTGACTTCAATCCGCTGCGAATACTGAGACTATCATGCTTTGACGATTTTATAAAAGAGGGGCGAAAACATTTTCATGTACAAATTAGAACTATGCAACTAAATTCATCTAAACTTGCTTACTGCATTGCTCTTTTGCAGCAAGTGCCAGTGCAGCAACAAAGGACAATTTATATAAAATCAAACCACAAGTGATGACGTTAGTAACCATTTTAAGCTGTGTTACAAAAACTTATAGCTTGTATGAGAGCACACTCAATCCTTAGCAACAAGACCGAAATCAGGGCAAATATGCTTATTTGAAGGGCACCGTCATTGTTGCGAACCCCCTTTTTTCAAATTCTTTATGCTTTCATATTTGTTCCTACTATTCCCCATTCCGCGCAAACGAGTCATTAGAGGGTATTTCTGAAGAAAAAAATTCCTGCGTCTTTCATTCCAAGAACGTGGCTATAACTCTCATTTTTTCTATATCCACCATTGCTTGTGTACTGTGAACTAGTCCAGTTATTTGGTACAAGAAAGTATCCCGTTTGAGCACATCAGCAATCTGATAGTTTGTTTGTCATCTAATCGGGAATTCATGAGAGATATGCATGGAAAACAAGTGAACACGATATTTTTCTTTTGTTTCTTAATCAACTACCAGTTTGCCGTCTGGAAATCTGTGACATTCGTTCACATGTCCGCGGATAATCCCGAAATGCAGTTTATTTGTGTTTTTCTGCTAACTGCGAAAATTTGCTCGCATGAAAACTTCGAACAGGAATTCATTTTTTCTTTTATAGTCAAACAAATGGTGACCCTCATGCCAGTGGCGTACCGAGGGGAGGGGGGGGGGCGGGGGGGGGGCGCCCCCCCCCGGGAATGGGTCGCGAAATTTTTGAAATTTATTACGTGGATTATAAAAATGTGCAAGTGACTTGTTTATTTATGTAAATAATTAAAATGATATTTAAAAATTTTTAAAAATTCAAATTAGCCTTGTAAAAAATTTTTTTCTTGATTTTCGGGGGTATGGGGCCGCAAAAAGTTTGAGAAGCACCCCAAAAATTTTTTCGGAGTGCGTGGTGTTAGTCACGCACCTTCATCAGAAAAAAATTTTTGTCCCCCCCCCCCCCCCCGAGCCGAAATCCTGGGTACGCCACTGCCTCATGCATATACTAGGCTATTTCTTGGCACAATTATCAGAATTGTTGACCTACTCCATGAAGCGGACGCGTTGACTACCAGTAGCTGACTGTAAGAACTTACTTTAGCTGGATATAGAGAAGAGAAAATAACCATAATTGCACGATGATAACAATAATCAATACCATGATAATGAAGCAAGCAAACCCAGAAGAATCATCTCTTGACTTCCTTCCTGATTTCACCTATAATTGATTTATGTCACTATAAAGTTTATCAATTCTGAAGAACTTCTGAAAAGTTGTTTACACAATTTCGACTTTCAGGGCTTGTGCTGGACATAATTATAAAGACATTCTAGAAACTACCGTAGTTTGCGTTCGCGTCGATGAAACTGTTCGAGACTTTGCTGTATAGTGCGCATGTTAGCCTATCATGACTCCTCAAAATGGCTTCCAATTTTGTTGAGTTCGAACGGAGAAAAATAGAGAAATTTGAAAACTCCCCTATTGGCTGGACAAAATTATAAAGACACTTAGGTTTTTTTCTGAATACCATCGCATCCCCTGACTTCAAGAGTTTTTTGTACTGTTACAAACTAGAATATAAAACATTTGCAACATATGCGACCTCTCTCCTTCCCAAAGAGAAATGTCCACTGCATTTTTCGCTTTCAAAAGCACCAAAAGTCAATCTGCTTCAAAAAACCTGGTTTTAAAGACTTTTTAAGCTCTTGCTCATTAGAAATGATAGTCATGGAATCCGCTGGCCCTTTGGATGGACAAGGTAAAGAGCGCTTTTGTAAACTTTGCGTAATCGATGATATAGACGGACAGACTCCAACCTCAAATAAACATGCCACGCATCTAGGCCACAGAACTCAGTTTGCAAATAAAGTGCTGGACATGATTTGCTTTACTGCCTACATGGTGATGCAGCTTTCGCCAGAACTTCCAGATTTTCCCTAATGATGCGGTCGCGATTTAGACCTAAGATACTTTCCACGAAAATTCTCTGCGAGCAATGGATTTGTGATAATCATAAATCTCACTATCATCCTCTCTCTTTCATGTCAATTTCTACCCAAAGAATGAAATTAACCAAGATTTGGAAGTTTTGAGCAGTCTCCTGTTCTATCTCGTGATCTGAGTTGGCTATGATTATGCAGGGTGCTCCACTCAACATTCAGTAGATGACAACTGCGGCTGAACCATAATGCTAACTTCGAAACTTTCTCCTGTGCCCACAAATTTACTATTTATACAGACGACGTAATGGCTACATCACAGTATTTTCTGTTGCTTGAAAATTGAGTTTTGTGGTTTAACACGTTTCGGACCGGTGCTGCACATGGTGCAGCACGCGGCTTTGAAGGATCTTTTTAATGTTTACAGGAGGTTTTCTTTTTGTCAAGGGCTATCAAGTCAAAGGCCTAAGCTCCTCCTTTTTGAATGACTCTGTAGAACTGTGCCGCCGATATTTGTTTAGAAGATATGAGGACAAATCGAACAACAGTCGCAGCGAAGTGCGGCAACGCGAACGACGCGTGCAACGTCGCAACTTCTCTTTGCTTTGAAATCAAAGAGAAAAACTGTAGTTTCAATACTGATGTGTACCGTGTACAACATGGCAGTGGCGTACCGAGGAGGGGGCGGGGGGGGGGGGGCGCGCCCCCCCCCCGAAAAGGGGTCGCCAAATTTTTGAAAGTTACTTATATGGGTTATAAAAATGTGCAAGTTACTTGTTTATACTTGTAAATGATTAAAATATTTTTTAAAAATTTTTAAAAATTCAAATTAGCTTTGCAAAAAAATTTTTTTCGGGGACGTGGCGCCAGCCACGCCCCCTTTTTCCAGATTTTAGGGGTTGGGGACTCGCAAAAATTTTGAAAAGCACCCCTAAAATTTTTTCGGAGTGCGTGGCTGACGCCACGCACCGTCATTTGAAAAAAAATTTTGTCGCCCCCCCCCCCCCCGAGCGGAAATCCTGGGTACGCCATGCAACATGGGTACTTTTGAATACTGTTAGAAACTGAGTACTTGTTCCTATCTTTCACGAAAGCACAGAAGTCCTTCACAAACGACAAAATTCAAACACTTCGAATTCACTGAGAACTTTGGGTATGGAGCTTATCTAAAATGCTGATTACAGATGTAGCACAAAGTCTTGAAATAAGGTCCCTTTGTTGGCTAACGGCTGAAAATACACTCTTTTTCGCCGCGCGCGGTTTCGCGGTCCGAAACGTGTTAAAAGCGTGACAAAAGTATGTTGAGGATGGAGTCTGTCCGTCAATATCAGCGATTACGCAGAATTTACGAAAGCGCTCTTCATTTGTTTTATCGGAAAGGCTCACTGGATTCCATGAATATCATTTGAAATAAAAAAAAGCTTGAAAACTTTCAAAACTAGCGTCTGTCAGAGCAGATTGACTTTTGGTGCGCTTGTACAAGAAATGCGGTGAACATTTCCCTTTGAAAAGGATGACAGATCGCGAATGTTGTAAATGTTTTATATTTCAGTCACAAACTGTACAATATTTATTAGATTCAAGGAATGTGATAGTGTTCAAGAAAACCAGTGGCCGTATTCACCAACGAACCCAGTGGGTCCGCTACCCAGTGAGTAAGCAGAAACAGTGCCACTGTGTTGGATCGATATTCACCAAATGAACTGCTGGGTTCGCGAACCCATTAGCTTCGTGAATACCCATCCCGTGGGTTGAGCCTTCCCAATGGGTTCCGGAACCCACTGGGTTCGTTGATGAATACGGGCACAGATGTCTTTATAGTTTTGTCCAGCTTCCAGTAGGAGGGGGTTTTCGAATTTTCCTCTTTTTCCGCTCAAAATCGACCTCCCGACAGCCGCGTTCTCTAAGTTTTTTCTCTACTCGAATTTTTTCTGATAGCATATGACAGTTTTTAGACATTGGAAGAGAGTGAGCTGAGATTTGAGGTAATGCCGTTTTGTAGAATGTTTTCTGCTCATGTGGGTGCAAAGACCGCGGTCAAATCTGTCGTCACGACTTTACAAAAGACGTATAGCTTCCAGTCAGATAATTACGGTCAAACATGTCTACGTCAACGCACTCTTCCTTTTAGCCGTATATTGCGCGTCCTGTGCAAGTCCTTGCATTCTATTTCCTTGCAAATATGTATATCTTTTTAAAAGTCGACAAATTATACTTATTCGCAGCTCGGGTACTCCATCTTATACCCAATGACAGTACAGGGTGGCGGAAAACATGGGCGTCACACATTTGTTTGCAAAACATCTTTTGAAAAACAAGGTTTCGTAAAATTACTTGTGCATGTCAAGAGGGGAGACGTCCTTTTGTGTTACTCCTACGAAATTGGAATCTTGTACATGCATACAGACTCTAGCTGCTTATCTTGAAGCTGATGCGTCAAAACATGCTATTTGAAGGATGTGCCCGTCACAAGCCCGTGGCTGTGCTTCGCTTCCGAATCCAACGAATTCTAAGAGATTAGGTTTTGAAAGGCATAGCTTCAGGAATAAGACAGTGCAGTAAAAGCGATCTCTCCTTTGCAAATTGAAACTTGGTGCTACAAACACGGTGCTGACTGACCGCGCCGTGGTGGGGAAACGAAAGCCGCCAGTTTGGACCGCCTCCACGGACTGCTGGTCCTGGAACGACATGCAACAACACTGCGAAAGGACCAGTTGGCCGCGAAAGGCGGCTCAAACTGGCGGCTTTCGTTCCCCCAATCACCGCGCCGCAGAGCCTTTCAAGTGGATGCAGATTACGGAATTTCATTTGCACATGAAGACTTCAGTGCGCATACTTTATATATCTCAATATAGAGGATGTCCATAAGCTACAGGCGTATCAGCCGTTATGACAGAACATTTCAGGGAAAGGTAAACTAGGTTTTTCAACAGTTCTGTCCGATTTGCGATTTTTCATTTGAAATCTTATAGCTTTTTTCTCAAAATCTACAATTTTGAACAAATTAAATTTTGTTAAATTGAACTAGTTTATGGCTATCACAAGCACTGTATGTCATGTAAGGAGGACAAGGGGAGAGAAGAGGAAATTCGAATTCTGCAAGGCTTTCCTCAAAACCGCCGAGTTTGACTTACTAATGCTTCCATACGAGGATGAACGGACATATTTGGCTGCCAATAGGGAAGGAAGGTGGGTCGAAGTGGTCTTTCAGAATGAGAGGGTATTATCTTGTAGGGCTTCGAACGCTGATTTCAAATCTGCCTTCCTTATCTGCGGCGCGTTTTTGGGTGAGGAGTTATGAGGCTTTTGAAGGGCGGAAGTCAATGCAAGTACAATCAAGGACAGCACACCGCTGTGTGCAGTCTGGTGTAGTGGTTAGTGTGGTGGTCTTGCAAGCAGAGGCTCCCAGGTTCGAATCACCTCCTGTGGTTTTCGTTTTGCTGGTCTACAAAAAATTTGTATGAGTATGAACAGCGTCCATACACCACCCCCTGTTTCTTTTATCAGAACAAGGTAACAACTGCTCTTTCTGAAGGTGTTTGCAAGTGACTTAAAATGGAGGTAGAAATGTCAAAAGAATCAATTTGTCACGTAACACCCCGGTGAACTTAAGAGGTCACAATGTTCTCAACATGCAAAGACCCACGTTCATAGTTGGTAAAGCTGAAAAAACGCACGTACAAGTTACGCAATCAAAAACTCATTAACCTACAAGATATTCTCGCCTGCCTCGCAGTTAAAAGAAGGAAGAGTTGATGTATAGACGATACGCGTGCTCATACAAGTTTTTGTAGACCAGCAAAACGAGGACCACAGCAGGATTCGAACCTGGGAGCCTCTGCTTGCAAGACCACCACACTAACCACTACACCAGACGGCACACAGCGGTGTGCTGTCCTTGATTGTACTTGTATCGACTTCCGCCCCTTAAAACCCTCATAACTCCTCAACCAAAAACGCGCCGCAGATAAGGAAGGCAGATTTGAAATCAGCGTTCGAAGCCCTACAAGATGATACCCATCTCATTCTGAAAGGCCACTTCGACCCACCTTCCTTCCCTTGTAAGTATCCTATACTTCTAAGTTCTTTTGCGGCTAAAGTGAATTCGAAATATCTTTGCTGCATAGTAATTTTTGCTAGCAAATCAAAAATTCTCATTATTTGAGCTCTTCTCCGCGTGCGAAAATATGCCGACTTTCAAATATTTGATTTTTTCTTGCTGTCGCAAACGAAAAAAGCCAGTTGGCCGACGTTTCCTGCTTGCTCTCGCTTTACTCTAACATATGCAATATAGAATGCATTACCTATCCCCATATGTAGATTGTTGTCGCTTGTTGAATAACTGGGTTTGTCTTCCATCTTCAAAAAAAGTTGAAAAAGTAAGACATTCTCTAGGTCGGAGGAAAAGTGTGCTTATGTTAACCCATCACACTCTCAACCATTACAAACCGGCATATATTTAGTTTTACGAATACTGCGGAAGTTCCCTTCATGGGAACTTTTTGTTGGGCATTACTGCATTTTGTCAACTTTGCTTCGGGACTTGAAATTTAATCACTGGAAAGTTGATTCGCCAAGCTTCAGCAAGTACTAGAAAGAGCAAGAAAAGTACTTTTAGACGATGGTTATGACAATGCCATAAGTGCAAATCCTGAGAAAATAGCTGCATCAAAACAAGGCAATCGAAAATCGGACAGAACTTTTGAAACAGCCTAGTATTACATGTTGTAACGCCCATACTTATCGCCTACCCTGTATATATGTGATTTTTGACTAACGCGACATTCCGTGTTTCCACTCACTTAGCGTCGCAAACTGGCAAGTCACTCATTATCAAGCAAGAGCGATTGTAGACGGCTATCAACAAATTGAACAAATTCTCATTTCGCTCTTCAAGTACAAAAAAGCGGCTACGGGTTGCGAGATTGCTTGTTGATCTCTGCTTTGAAGCAACAGTTGGCTGCAAGGCAGAGCGAGAGGCGTCACGTCTCAGTCACAACCGCGCGTTTACCGGTCTGCTGCAGTCTGGTCGATTTTTTTTCTTACGACGAAAACCCAGCGTCTGCAAAACCTCAAAGCGAGGAAGAGATCAACAAGCGGCATCGTAAAAGCGCATCGTCGGTATCCTGCAGTTCTGCAGACGGAATGCGAAAAGCTAACGATTTTTCGGTGATCGCGTACTCACCGGCGATTGTTTGAGTGTCGAGAAGGCTTGTTGAGCCGCATTCAAGACCTTTGTGATGCTCGGACGGCAGTGAAACTAAAAATGAAATAGGTCACGAGATATACGAAAACTTCTTCATTTTGTAGTTGCTGTAGTGTGGCGATTGATCAGTGTTCTTCATATGGCTTGCAATCATTCAGTCGATGCAACCTCAGCGGGAAATGAACGCTATAAAAGGCGCTTCCCCTTAACTAATGCTAATTCACTCGTTGCCCCAAATTTTGCCTCTTATTGTTCATTGAATTCTTCTTAATAAATATTTCTGGTTCCTCCTGTGCCGCTCAAGCGAAGGCTCGAAAGTGTACGAGGTCAAAGACACAGCACTTTCCACTTATAATCTGGTTCTGATGTCGACATTTGGTTTTCTTAGTACATAGCCAATCCAAATAAGATAAACGCGTCAAGTGAGGGATGTGATTACTGCGTGTCGAAATGTGGTATCAAAGAACTTGCTTTCGCAAATCACATTTTGTAACAGCAGTTTTGTGCAGAAAAATGAAAATGTAATCAAAGGAGAAGTACATATTTTCTATTGCCCGTGTTGCAGAATGTGTGCAATACAAACAAGGCGAAACCATGAACTTATTTTCGAGCATTTTGATGGATTTACTGCAATACAACTATTGATGAATTTGACGCGTTGCTAATCTATGACATTTATCGAAACCCTGAGGTAAACCCTGCCTTCAGGGGTAGGTTTCCTCAGGATTTACTGGCCGTATTCATCAACTAACCTTTGAGGGTAGGGTTTATCCTGTCAATCGATTAACCGTTCATCAACGAACCTCATGGTGTAAGCGTAGGTGCGTAGAAGCTCAAGCGAAAGAGCTATGTTATGAGAACAAGATATAAGATACAGATAAAGGATTAATATGTCATGAGAATAAGACCAGCTGTTACAGATATGAGGACGATACACATTCCGCACTATGGTATATGAGCCGTCACCGAAAGCACAAGCCGGGGAATTCCCGTACCAAGCCTCGAGCTAGGAGGATACCGACTGGCAGCCCAAGCTACCCCTCCACTGTTACAGGCTGATGCCTGCCCGACCAGCAACTCAGTGATCCATGTTGTTATATTTGATCGCCTTAGTGTATTGCTTGATTCCTATTTTATGCCATAACAGATAAACTATTAGTACAGCTAGTGTTCGGGTATCTACCAGCCTGAGCCGCTTCACGGCGCTACGTTGAGTGGTGGCAGCGAGTGGTTCCACCGCCACGGAGGGAAGGTAAGTCCTTTTTTTGTAGTTTTGCCCTGGTGGTTCCGATTCACTGTGGATAGTCCGTAAGCTTTTTTCTTTTTTCCGACCTTAAACGAACAAATAGGACTGGCCATCTTGTTTGCTTCGAAGGCCGTGAGTTTAGGCGGGCGACATCGCTTAGGGTCATCAGTGAACAGTTCCACTGCCACAAAGAAAAAGCGAGTTTCTTTCTAGTTCTGCTTTCGCCCTGATGGGTTCCCAGTCGGTATTACGAATTTTTCGAGAAAAGACAGTCGTGATAATTCTGTTCTTCTGTTACCTTTTCCTTGATCTAAGTGCACAGATCTCGTGAAATTCTGGTAACTTAATAAACTTTTGAACTAAAATGATAAAATATAATTTTCTTTTCTCGAGTAGTTTATTCCCGGGATTCAGCAGTTTTCTCCTGCTGGAGTTTCTTTTGGTCAGCAGTTTTATGCTGAATGTAATGTGTACACTTAGTGATGGTTTGTCCGAACCGAGTGGAAATAGAACGCCAAGGAGGTGAGTGTCGTTTGTAGTGGTGTGCCCAGCGTATTCAGGAAGGTATCCTGCGTTCTTCCCGGGTTGAGGTTGTGTTTCCTCGCGGATTAAGGGACTCGTGTTTTGGCTAGGCGTTCGCCCAAAGTGAAGGTTAGTTTTGTCTTGCCGGCGGCTGGGATTTATGTTTTTATGGAGTCCAGTAGAGTTGCCTCGAGGTAGTTTCGGGGGGCGACATCCGCTTGAGGGTTGTAAGGTGAGCTCGAGCAGTTTTGCATAACTAAGTATTGATCGATCATTTGCTCTCAATTTAGGTACCTCGTGGTGATAGGCCATTCACATTTCTAAAGCCTGCCCCAGAAAAAGATGACAAATCAGGTATATAAGGGATATAATGTCAGTTTAGTTCGAAGTTTACAATCCTTTACGTTTCGTGCTTATCCCGAGCTATTTTCGTATTGTATTTGAGCGAGCAATGTATTTTTTCATTCGTTTCCTCATTAACGGCAGCCTTGTATGCGAGATATTTGATCGATCTGGCGTCTAGCATGAGCCGGCATGATCGTGAGCTTGATAACGCATGTCATCTGCGCACTTCTCGCTAGACGCCGCCTGCGTTAGAACGGTGAGCCGTTTCTTTACATTTTTTTCTGTTTCGTTCCTATTAATTTTTGAAGCGTTTGTGGTGTTGCAGTTCCTTTTTTCTTATTTTCTTTCATTCCAGTTGAAAAATCTTTTTTAACTGTTATTCCGCCATTCTCTCGCTATATATAGTGATATATATAGCGAGAGAATACTTAGTTTACGCGTGTTCGCGTCCCCCTCTGAAAACAGTTTTGTCCCTTATTGCCAGAATTTTTTTCTTTCATTTAGAAGTTTTTTTCTGCATTTTTTGAGGTTCTTTTCTCTTTCCTTCTACATTCGAAAGCACACCACATTTACGTTTGTTTTTGCGCTAGTTTTTTTCCTCCTTCTTAAGTACCATTTGTATTTGTCTGAAAATCCTCTATTTCTGCGCACACGCAGTTTATTTCGCAGCTTTTCTTGGTTTAGTCACCTGTCTTCTAGGATAGTTCTCACGGGTCGTCAGCCCTTCCCCCTCCAACCTCGGGACAGTAATGTACCTGTCCGAGGTTGGAGGAGGAAAAGCGGAGCAGGAGGAAAAGGAGGAGACAAATATTACTATACTTTTCGCTATATCGACTTTTGTTTTGAAATACATGAGTTGAAACACGTGTTGTGCTCCCTAGTCTTTCTAGCGGGTTTCTATGTGCATTAGTTTTGCTACTGTTACTACCGTTCTTGCTACTGGTTTTATCTTAAATTCATAGTTGTTCGAGCAAAAAAAACGTTTTCGTTCGTCTTTTCGCTGGTCGTCATTCTCCTTGTCATGTTCAACGGTATTTACTAAAGTCACGCGTGTTCGCATTCACATCCGAAATAACATTTTTATCGTTAGTCTATTTCATTTTGTTCGAAAGGTTTTTTTTACATTTCTTGAAAGTTTTCTTTCTTTTTGCATTCTGAAGCACACCATGCTTTGATATTTTCTCTGCTTCAGCTTTCACGCTATTCCCTTGAATGATTGCTTAGTATTTCACCTCATCCTCACAGCGAGTTAGAAGAAGCACGTAAGCAAATTGAGTCTCTTTTCTTATCTTTGAAACAAAATCAGGCAGCTCTTGAAAACCCTAACGCCCGCATTCCGACGTTTGTACAGCGTAATGCAGAGCTAGCCCGTATAGCTTGTGGTCATCATCATCTCTCCACTTCCACATCTTCTCTTCTTAATGTAAACTGTTTGTTTTTTGCTTCCATCGCTATGCCCTGTTGCATTCTCAGCGGAAAAGCTTTGCGCCTACGTTTTTGTTCGGTAAGGTCTAGATAAGTGACTCGAAGGTTTGCTTTGATGGCGCGATGACAGCCCGACCCTGGTAGACTGACAAAACTCTCTGATTATCACTGACCAGGGCTACGCAATCACAAAGGTAAAACGGCTGAAGCGTTACACACAGCCGCAAGTCGGGATCATAACATCAAATCAACCTGCAGCTCAACTATTAGCGGTAGAGGATACAGTTCAGACTTCTGTCCCTACACTATTTCACCACGCTTTGGCTTCGTTGTGCGACCGCACTAATTCTCTTACGTTCTCACTCCATTCATCACTCGATTTAGACCAAACTTATACCGTGCACGAGTTGCTCAATCGACCCGATGTGGCCGCTTCTTACATAGGTAGCGGCTTGGTTCAAATTCACAACTGCATACGCACTCCCAACCCAAACTACTATCGTATCTTACCATTCAACTCCACTTACTACGACAAACCTCAGATCCAATTGACCCAGCGGATCTTCCTGGTTTACATCGACCCTCACAACTGGGTACTCACTTCTGACGTGAAATCAGGCCTTGCGATACTCCTCGCCCATTCCATTTTCCTCTCCCTGATGGGGTTCTTCAATATGATGCAATATCACATACCTTCTCTAAGATCTCTAACTTGTATGCGGTTCCTTTAGTGGAGGAGAACGGGGTTCTCTCGGATCCAGGTGTTTTCACTATAAGCCTGCGGGCTTTGTAACCTTCCGTTGCGGCTGATAGCCGTCCCTCAGAAAAAATCAAAACAGAATTTGTGGTTGATCTTAGCAAGGCTGAGGTCTCCGAATAGGAGAGAGAGCAGCTTTGCGCATTTTTCCATTAGCCTGTGATCCTTGCCAACGCAAGCGCGCCCAAGCCCATAGCTCCGTGAAGCGTTACTCCCGATAGCCACTACAGCCATTTTTGACAAAGTATACAAGGACTTGACCGGCCCCTTACACACCTCTGACAGGGGAAGGATACTTGGATGCCGTAGCCATTCATAATGATTTGTATACCAAAAAATGCGCTTTTGAATGCTGGTTCGTGTACTGTCTTTCATATCTGCGAAACGATAATCTGAATGGAGTTATGATTTTTTTCATTAAGAAAATTGCGTTCCTGCGGAGGGTCAAAATCATCAATAAAAAAATTTTCTCTCCTTTCCAAATGCTGAGTATGATCCAGATAGTCTAAATAAATATTACTACGTCTAAAATTTTCTTCAGTAGCATCGAACGGTAGGCTAGATCAAATCTGGTGATTTTTACTATACAAAAGTAGGCTAAATTTTCAAGGAAAAAAGTTCATAACTTTCCTCAAAAGATCGTTTCGCAGATTTCGAGCACAGATTCAGAATCTGCATTCAAAGGCGCATTTTTTGGTATACAAATCATTAGGAATGGCCGCGGCATCCAACTATCCTTCCCTTGTGAGTCTAGCAACA